TCCATAATAATCGGCACCTTCATTACTATATTCATAAAATATATCGGGATATTGTTCCAATGTTTTGTTGCGGAAATAAGCATGGGTATGGGTTGGATTATTCTGTTTTTCGGATAAGATCTTGGGTTGAGATGTAGATATTACAGGTATTGCATTTACCTCAGCTTTAAATGAATCGGAAACGTGAGATTCCGTAGATATACTTACCTTGGTCTCGGTTTCCGGTAAAGATTCAGATGCGATAGCATCCTCACTTCGTGAGACTTCCTCAATTATTTTATCTTCTGAATTGCTGGAGGTAGACACGGAGCTAGAGGTATGGGACAATGGAATAGAGGGAGTGGTTATATTACCTGTCTCTATTTCAGATGAGATTTTTCCGGGACCACCGGTCTCTAAAATTTCAGTATTTTCGGACGAAATTTGATGTCCTGCATTATCTGTATTGACGTTCTGACAAGAATAATTTATAATCTCTTGAATTTGATCATTAGTAAGCTTTGAAATGGAATTCGCACTATATGGTTTGATGTATTTGATTTTATCATGGCCTATTTTTTCGAATAATATATAAATTTTCTCAGCTCTCTGAGTTTTTTTGCGCAAAGCATCCCGCGATATTTCTGGAAGATGTAAACCCAATTCTTGAGATCTTTTTTTACGGATAATAGAAAGCTGTTTTGTAATGGAATCGTAAAGTAAACTTCTCGCCTTCTTTTCACCAATTTTACCTCTGCTATTTTTAATAATCTCATTGAACTGAACCCTGAAATCCTTTCCGTAAATGGACCAACATAAGATTTCTTCTTGGTTAGCTCTATTTGCACCATCCTCAGCATCAAAAGCTTTATCACATAACTGAGCTAGCTGTTGCGATGCTTCGTCAATGTTAGATTTTCCGGGACCGCCGGTCTCGGAAATTTCAATCACATGGTTTTGAATTATATTCGATTCTTGTAGAGACGGCTCTGGAGTAAATAATTCTTGGATCAACCCCTGCCCACCTTTTACACTCAAAGAACCCTGGAAGTTATGATTTTCTCTTGATCTCGAAGTTTCTTCTCCTTAATGCTCTGAATGATCTCTTTACTAACCGTTTCTCTATGCTTTGAATCCAGGAATTCGTCAATTGCTTTCTCTTCTGATGTATTGCCATTCTCTATAGGAATAAGAGGTGTGGAAGGTCGGCTATCCTTTTCCTGGAATATATATGAATCAGATGTGATATTGGAACTATTTTCTATTCGTTCAGGAGCAACATCAGAATTTGAAGTATTATCAGATATATTAAATGCCGGAGTATCATTAGAATTTTTCATTTTGGTAGAGATGGTATTAGATACAGAGTATCCTGCTTCGCAGACTGAAGATTGATCGATTCCCTCGGCATCATCATCTGATTTAACAATAAAGTTGTTCTTTTCATTGGTTTGCGATTGCTTCTGTTCTAATTTCGCAACTCTAGCTTTAAGCTCAGCATTTTCAACGGCAGTGTCTTTATCATTCTGCTCCAGTTTCACAAATCTGGATTCATTTTCTTCCAAAGCTTGTTTTAATTTTACGTTCTCAGCTTTAAGTTCGATGTTCTCGGCCTCAACTTCGGAAAATTTTTTTCTAAGTTCAGGAATTTCAGCATTCTCTTTTCAAGTTCATCAATTTGAAGAACGAGCTTAAGATTTAACTCTTTCAACGAATCGATTGGGGAATTCGTGCTTGCCATTGTTTTACATAAAATATTAATTATTCAAAAGCTTATTCATATAAAAAAATATTGGTTCGTAAAAACGCGTTAACGCGCCTTCTCTTTATTGATTGTAATGAAATCGAAAAGAATCACATCTATCTATTGTTTTTATACTATTGTATATGTTATAAATACTATCTATGCTATTATATTACATTTTTTTTATTACGTGAATCATTCTCAGTAGCCTTTAGTGGCGACGCGTAGACAATAGAATCATTTGTATGTTGAGACCACCACGTTTAAAATTTTTGTTCGATTTATATAAAAATTCCATATGGGCATGCAATTTCATGATACGGTCCTAATGATATAATAAGAAGTGCGTTAAGACTACTTTAAAGTAATAACCGAACCAATGGTAGGACTTATCACCTTAAATTTAATCATTATTTGAATTATATTGGATAGATTCTCCAGATCCAGTGATGTATCAGGAATCGTAAATCCATTAAATTGATCAACGAGATATATCCCGTCTACCCAATGCATCGAATATAAAAGAAATTCTTTTCCTAAATTATTAAAGTATATCTGGGATTAGTAAACATTGTAAAAAAAAAAAAAATAGATAATTACATACTATATACGAGTAATCCAAAAGTTTCCAAATCTTCGAGACCTGGGGCCTTTTCAGGTAATGATTTTCGAAGGTTAAAAAGAGCCAATTGCATAGCTATAGGTAAAAATAATAATATTAGTGATTTTAACAAAAATAAAGTTATATTGAGATCATTCTTTTACCTTTAATCATTTTTTCTTTATCATCATTATATTTCTTGTCATCACGTTTGAAAGCATTTCCGATTACCTCTCCAAATACTATTTGAACCAACTTGCTTCCAACCTTCATAACTAGAACGGCATCGTGATACCAAGTTCCAAGACTTGATTTACGCTGATCCAAATTTCTTGATAGGTCCAGTTGTTTTTTTCGGTCCACATTTTCGACTTCACCACTGATTGGAGATAAATACGCTGAAAATAAAACCTTCTTAGAAAGTCAACAAAATATGAAATTTACTTACGTCTTCATTATGGCTATGGCATTTACATCAAAGAAAAGTCCTTCCCAAATATAATTTATAACTCGACTTCTATACGCATATTCAGATGTATCCGGATCACCTAGAGGGCTGAATGGAGTCTGAAGACACAATATGCTACCAATTATATATATTAGTAAAATTAGTTAAATGAAAAATTATAGAATAATTATAGAATATGATTAAAGTTTCTTACAAAGCATTATATACTGATTGTACCCATCGAAGATGATAGTCTCTTTCGAACAGATACAAATGCTGATCTTCAAACGGGCTTTTACAAATGATACTTTCGACTTTATTTAAGTCAACATAACATTTGATGGTAGCATCTTTTATACATTTGTCATACTTCTCTAAAAGTAATTTTACGTTTTCATCAATCTGGGGAAGCGAATCCGCGATCCTTTTTCAACCTAAAAATAATATCCTCGTTAAAAAATAAAGCCAACCAAAAATGAGTAAAAAAGATCCAACCTTTTCCCAATTCGATTCCATTATTGACCACTCTTCATCATTGAATAAGCGTTTAATTGGATTATGAACATTATCTTCCGGTAAAAATATAATCCGATATCTCCCAATACCACTTTTAATTTCAGCAAGTCTTCCGATAGCCAAATTTAACGAAGGCTAAAACGCAGATAAAGATTTATTAGATAACAGACAATAATGAAATATAAAAAGGTAGAAATTCCGGACCTCAACTAATGACAGCTCCTGGCAATATATGTTATCCACATCCTGTTCCGCCTCAAAATCTGTATCATGTTCATTTTTGTCAAGTGGAGATGGTGTAACAGCATGTACAAAATGGTGATCAATTTTTGTTATTTTTGAGACTTTATTGTCATCCTAAAGATTAAAATTATAGTTAATTCCGGCAAAATCACAAAATAATAATTATTAAAAATATATTAGACCTCAGATGGTGTCAGCTCCTCATCTTCATATGCTGGGATTTCTTTCCTTTTGCGATTGTTAATAGTAGTGAGGTCAATGGCGATGTTCCTATGGAAATCCACTACTGTAGAAGTATGTTCTTGCAAATTTTTTGACTGCATCACAAATAAGGATTAGTAAATTTCAAAAAAAAAATAATATAAATTATTAATAAGAGATACCTTTATCTCCGCAAGCTGTATAGTTTCGTAACTTTTAATCTGCGCTAGTCGAAAGGTTTCCTCGTCCTTTATTTTCCACAGATCTTGCAAAAATTTAAAATAATCGCTTTTATTTTTAGCAAGTTTCCAGGACTACAAAATTTCACAGTAAACCAAACTTTAAATTTATTCATTATGATACGAATGATTATTATTTCACACATAGAAGCTGTAGCGAACTAATAGTTCAACACCGCAGACGACTAATAGTCCCGAAGTGTGCCACAGAAATTAAAAGACGTTCTTAAACCACAGTGAACTAATAGTTCAACACCCAGACGACTAGTAGTCCCGTAATGTGCTAATGGCTCAACACCAAATGAAAACTAATACTTGCCTCTAGTTTCGTATACATAAAATCAGCCTTCAGTTTGGCGTTTTCTGAGACAGGATTATTACTCATTTCCTGAATAGCCTTTTTCATGTAATCCAAGAGTTTTTTCTTATCGCATGTAACATTAAGGGCACACCACTCGCTCAAGCTATCGAGCGACCAACTTTCTAGAGGTGTTTCAGCGAAAAATCCAGCCATCGTTTGATTAAGGGGAAAAGAAAATGGTCGGCGTTACAATTTGTAACGCGCACGTGATTTTTCCAAGAATACCTTAGCTAATAAGCACAATGTAAAAATTTATATAAAAAAGCTTTAATGGAATATATTTTAAAAATCGCAAGTAAGAAATGCAACAAAAAATAAATCACTAAAAGCGACAGGTAATAATAAATCGCTATACTGTCATGAGTAAGTTAGTAATCGGTGTACCGCATGATCAAATTATGCATGCAAATTTCTATTATATTCGAATTCCTTCTATAACACACATATCACATGATAGGTTAATAATTTTAACGAAGATGCCAAGTTACACAAGTTATTACTTACCATAAACTGTAAGCACGAAGTATCATTGCTATACAATAAATATTGCGAGAAAATAGTTCGTTGTTGTCATTTGCTCATGTTAAAATCTCATAACCATTTACCAGTGAAATTCATGAACCAGTT